GTCATTGAATCAGACAGTGTGTTTGTATTGTGTTGGACACTCTGTTGTCATTGAATCAGACAGTGTGTAGTCTTGGACAGGCTTTTGTTCTTAAATACGATAATGTGTGTGTGTGCTGTGTTGGACAGGCTGCTGTCCTTGAATCAGTCAGTGTGTGTTGTGTTGGACAGGCTGTTGTCCTTGAATCAGACAGTGTGTGTTGTCTTGGACACGCTGTTGTCCTTGAATCAGACAGTGTGTATGTTGTGTTGAACATGCTGTTGCCCTTGAATCAGACAGTGTGTATGTTGTGTTGGGCAGGCTGTTGTCCTTGCATGAATCAGACAGTTCTTGTTATGAGTTGGACACGCTATTGACCTTGAATGCAACAGTGTGTGTTTGTTGTATTGGGCTCTTTATTGTACTTGAATCAGACAACTGGTAGTCCAGATCACGTACTTTGTGTACCCCTCTGACAAGTGTAAAGTTGCACAGCTCCCATTGCCGAAAGCTATGAACTCACAATGTCATTTAGAAAGTTGTCAAATGTTACAAGTGTTATATTTGGGATAACACTTTCTCAGTAAAGTACAGATTCTCATACTTCTTATGGTTGAGTCTGGGGTCAGATCGCTGACTTTGTGTGGTGGCTCTTTGGTGCCTCTCTCTGGCAGTGTGGGTTTGAAACCTGGACGGCGAAGTGTTATCCCAAATACAATATGTGTTACCGAAAGCTGTTAAATCAAAGAATAAACGTCCTGTCCAAGACGATTTTATTGTAGAATATTTAAGATATTCTGGAAAGATTTAGTAATTTGAGGTTTTTTTCACACAATAAGCAGACGTATGAGAACTTGCATTCCACAAAGTCAAATAAACACAGACTTTTATAAAATTTGGGCCCTATCTCTTTTCTCAATACCTCATTGTGAGGATCCGGGGTAGAATAGGTCTTCAGCAACCCAAGCTTGCTGTAAAAGGTGACTATGCTTGTGGTAAGAGACGACTAAAGGGATCAGGTGGTCAGACTCGCTAACTAGGCTGATGCATGTCATCGTATCCCAAGTGCGTGGATCGATGCTCAGGATGTCAATCACTGAATTGTGTGGTCTGGATTCGTTTAATTTACAGACCACCGTCATATAGCTGGAATATTGCTGAGCGCAACAATCAAACAAACAATCGATACTTTATATACCATGGTTAATACCTGCACAGTTGATATCAAAGAGGTTTCATATTGTAGCTGATAGAACCTTCAACATTACCAACCAAAATATTAACTCAACTTTGAAGACGATAAAAACGACATGCGAAATCGTCCTCGTCTGAGATTAAACGGGTTCCTGATGTTTGACGTGATGAACAATTTCAACGATTGACCCGGCGCCCAAACTGCCTTCTACTACTTTGATGTATTTAAATGGCATTTTGGGGTTTTCGTTTCTGCTCCTCCCTTTTTATTACCGTGTCTAACTAATATTGACTAATCATTATCAATAACACTATTGAAGATTCCTTCAAAAATCTACTCAGGGGATTAATCCCTGACAAGCATTCATTGTGTGGAATTTGACCGAGGGTAGCAGTTGGTAGCATCCAAACAGGATTTTAGTCATAAAATGCTAACAACAGACATTTATTGTTCTTTTTATTGTTCATAGGAACAAGAGCAAAGGTAGCTTTTCACACTCAAAGATGTATGCAAAATTATATGTGCAGGATTAAAAGACAAGGAAACACTTCCTGACATATACAGTAAACTACGGTTATAACGAACTCAAAGGGACTACTAATATTAGTTCGTTATAACTGTAGTTCGTTATAAGCATATATACAGCATAACCACAGCAAATAATCGGGACCAAAAAAGTAAGTTCGTTATATCCGTCAGTCTGTTATAAGCGTGCTCGTTATAACCGTAGTTTACTGTAACTGCTAAGTATCACAGCCGGTTGGGGAAGCATAACGCCTGGCCAGACATCCATCTCTACGCCAGATTCTGCTTCCAAGTCACCGTCAGGCACGCCTAGCTAGGTGTTGACAGCATCTGAAGATCAGACGTCAAGACTGGGACAGTATTTTGTTCCCAGATGAGTCCCGGTGTCATCTGGACAGCTCTGAGAACGTTTCAGCCAAACGAGGGATGTCCTCAGATCTTTCCTTAGCAGTAGCGAGAACTAAGATCTGATATTAATGAGATTGTAGCAACGCCTGCTTCACTCAACGTCGTCAGTTTTGGGGTAGAAGTGTAAGGGTATGTTGTGGCATCACAACACATTGGAGAATACAACTAATTATTGTTCATGGCGATTTTTGTGTTAATGTGTTATGATTTCATATAGTATGACCTTTACAGCAACGACTTCATATCAACAATATTGCATAAGATGTTCCGTCGTTCTTGTCACGGATTATCATTTTCTGTTTTGAGAATACGTTTTATTTTGCAACCTTGGAGTTCAAATATATGCTGTTATACCAAACATTGAATAAGTCATTTTACTCTCAACATTTCCTTTCAATTGTACAAAATTGTATCTTTAACATCCTGGGAAATCCAAACATAGGCAAATATTATACTAAGTACACACAAGTACACACAAAAATGAAACCTACACCTTGGCATAATTATACATCTAAACAATGTAACTGCAGTTACTTCCGCCAAGAAGAGATAACTCTGTACCACCATCAAAATAGTTAAGGGTATATCGAATATAGGACAGTACACATTTATAATTGTGAGCCGTGGAGAAATGGGGTTTAACGTCGCGTTCACGGGTATTGCACTTATATAGCAACGTGCATGCACGTGTGTGTGTGGCTGCTTGTACTAGTCCAGACCCGGACATTCCGCTCTCAGGGCGGACGCTCAACCACTGTACTACTAAGAGTTTAAACGTGTGGTAAGGAACATTTTGATTGAGCATATTCAGTGAAGTATCATACACAGTGATTCAGCCAATCCATTCACAGAATAGGGTGCATCAACAAGAAACAGCCAATCACGTCACAGAATAGAGTGCATCAACAATAAACAGCCAATCACGTCACAGAATAGAGTGGATCAACAAGAAACAGCCAATGACGTCACAGAATAGAGTGGATCAACAAGAAACAGCCAATCACGTCACAGAATAAAGTGGATCAACAAGACACAGCCAATCACGTCACAGAATAGAGTGGATCAACAAGACACAGCCAATCGCGTCACAGAATACATTTCATTGACAATGTGTGAGTGACAGCCATGTACATGTGCGATCTGGTTTACCGAAACTGTATGAAACATCGGTCAATGAAAGAATAATACATTTCCACATTTCTTCCTGTAAAACACAAACACTTGAACTGACATATACCTTCAATAGGTGGTAAGAGCTTGTTGCGGGGAGAAAATCCGAAGTGATGCAGGGCCCAGGACTTTGCCCAATTTGATGAATCTCGAGTGAGTGAGTGAGTTGGGTTTAACGCCGTTTTTAACAGTATTCAAATTATATCAGGGCATATCAGCTTAATGTGGGAGGAAAGCCCGAAGTGATGCAGGTCTCAGACGTTTATCACTTCGGTGAATCCCACGAGCACGGGTATGGTGCTGACTAATCTAAAAACATAATCGGGGCGAACCGGAATTCGAACCCACAATCATAGGTTTCTGGCGTGGACGCAACTCTGCACAGCGAATCTCGGTGCCTCAGACGAGTGGGCCATCCGTGCCCCCTGAAACCCACGAGCAGAGTACGGTGCTGACCAAGGACACAGGTCAGATAACAACATACCAAGAGTCATGATATCATGATCATAATCGAACCCACGATCATAGGATTCTGGTTCGTCTAAAACATGCTAGACACAGATCTCGACAGCTGTACAGAGCAACTGAGTCGCATTTAACAACTTGGCCAGCAATGCCACCGATTATGACTTTATGAGTACGCAGGCTGGTCAAACAGTTCTATGCCTAACAATCAAAATTTATCTAAATTTTCTCTGACAATGTCAGTTGTTTTTTCCTTAAGATAAGAATTTAGAAACTTTGTCTTCCAAACGAGCAGATATCTTATTCATCAGTAAATGTTCATGGATAATAGTTTCAATGGACCATTGGCTTAGACCTGTGTCGTCCCCAAGTTAAGCAATGGTAATGTCTTCTCTGAAGTACAAAAAATGACTCGTATTTTTAAAGAGGTGTGGTGAAATAGGTTTTAACGATTATTTCACTGATATAGCGATGTGTATGCACGAGGGTCTATGAGAACCTTAAGGTCGAGCGACAGACAGAATAATAACACATTCTGATATGACGCGGCCAGGGATCTTCTGCTCACCAGGCGGACACTCCACCACTAGTACTAGTCCGGACTGGTGCATAGTTATATTCCACTGAAATACCATGCCTCAGTTTAACATGAATACACCCCTCTGACACAGTATACTGACTCCGAGCAATCCAGTTCTTATTTTAGAACCTTAATGCCGAGTGAAAGACAGAATAATAACAAGTAATATCTTTTGACGTATTCTGGCATGACGCGGCCAGGGATCGAAGCCCAGGATCTTCCGCTCACCGGGCGGACGCTCCACCACTAGACCACATAGGCTGTCTACTTTTAAGGATTAATATTAACAACGTTCAGTGAGTGGGATGCGTGTCTCGCCGCTTTGACAACAGTGTCGTGTCGTGCCCATCATAGGTTCAAGCACGGGTGAGAGCGGTCGGGTAGCCTAGTGGTTAAAGCATTCGCTCATCACGCCGAAGACCCGGGTTCGATTCCCGACATGGGTACAATGTGTGAAACTCATTTCTGGTGTCCCCCGTCGTGGTATTGCTGGAATATTACTAAAAGCACGAGTGTGATGTTGACCCAGGTAAGTCTCATCACCGGGACTGGCCTACTCATGACAAAAGGGAAAGGCAAGCCATGTGTTTCTTTCGAAACATACATTCCTGGTTCTTTGTTTTAAAAATAATTTAAACATCAAATATTCTGAAAACATAGCTGATGAACTTGTCGGTCTTACAAAACAGGTCGTACTTTCATCACTGACGTTTGCAAAGAGTAGAAGTTACCGCGCCAGCTCTCCCAGTTGATCCCTTTGACAAAGCGTGTGTTGTTGTATTCGCCATTCAGATTCGACAAGTGACAGTTCTCGTACCACCATCCTCCTAGATATTTTTGTGCACAAGAACCATAAGTGTTCCGATCAAGGTCACGATCACGGGTTGAAAATGCCTGGCCATTGTGTAGAGCCATTGAGTTGCCTGTAACAAAACGATGAAGACATTGGTACCTGTTGCTGGTGAAAGTATCCACAGCGGTTAAGCCAATGTTCTTATCAAGTAAAGTAGTAATTTTCAGGAGAAAATAAAATGCACTAGTGTACACATGTTCAACCCAAACCTTTAACCAAGAGAAGTATCATGTATTATGATAATGCTGCAATCTGAATTGGTTGCCTTGGTAACTGAAGCCCAAGATCTTTAAGTGGAGAACGAGTGAGTGAGTACGGTTTTACGCCGATTTAACAATATTCCAGCAATATCACGGCGGGGGACACCAGAAAAGGGATTCACACATTGTACCCATGTCGGGATTCGAACCCGGATCTTCGGAGTGACGAGCGAACGCTTTACCCACTAGGCTACCCGACCGCCCCAAATGGAGCACGAAGAGAATAGTATTCTGCAAGGCCACGCCAAGGGAGTTCACTTTCTCGACAATGAAGCCCCAGATATGTAGAGCTTATTATTCTGTACGGCCACTGCTCACCTTCAGGCCACTGAAGCCCCAGATATGTAGAGCTTATTGTTCCAAAAGGCCAAAGCTCACCTTCAGGCAACTAAAGCCTGAGATGTGTGGGGCATAGTGTTATAAAAGGCTACGGCTTACCTGTGTCGCCACTGAAGCCCGAGATATGTAGGGCATAGTGTTCTGCAAGGCAACTGCTTACCTGTGTCGCCACTGAAGCCCGAAATATGTAGGGCATAGTGTTCTGCAAGGCAAATGCTTACATGTGTCGCCACTGAAGCCCGAAATATGTAAGGCATAGTGTTCTGCAAGGCAACTGCTTACCTGTGTCGCCACTGAAGCCCGAAATATGTAGGGCATAGTGTTCTGCAAGGCAACTGCTTACCTGTGTCGCCACTGAAGCCAGAGATAAGTAAGGCATAGTGTTCTGCAAGGCTACTAATTACCTGTGTCGCCGCTGAAGCCCGAGATATGAAGGGCATAGTGTTCTGCAAGGCTACAGCTTACCTGTGGCGCCGCTGAAGACAGAGATAAGTAAGGCATAGTGTTCTGCAAGGCTACTGCTACCTGTGTCGCCGCTGAAGCCCGAGATATGAAGGGCATAGTGTTCTGCAACGCTACAGCTTACCTGTGGCGCTGCTGAAGTCCGAAACATGTAAGGCATAGTGTTCTGCAAGGCATCTGCTACCTGTGTCGCCGCTAAAGCCCGAGATATGAAGGGCATAGTGTTCTGCAAAGTTGCCGATGATGAAACTTTGGTAACGGGCATATCTTTGTTCCCCTTCAAAATCACTGATATAATATATACCCTGTGTTAATTCTTGCCATTTGATTGGCTTGTAATTCTCCATTATTATAGACTTATATAAGCATTCGTCTAAATTATTGTATTTGTATGTGGTGTGGTGCGATCCAACAATAGGAAACAATCTATTTTTAATCTCCAACCAGTTCTTTGGTTTTGGTACGGAAAAATTGACGCGCTTGTTGCCTCCCCTGTTCTATGAACTTTTTTTGGTCATCATTGCTCATACCACTGGTCTTACGAGAATTGGATCGAATCTCCTGCTACATTACGTTGTATTTGGTGAGTTCACTGAACGAAACTCCTCCTCGGATATCTTACAATCAGCCAGTGCTGTTGAAATATGATCCTCAATGCTGTTCAACTTTGCTTCGACGAGTATCCGAATATTATCATGTTTTAATGCTTTCTTTTGCAACTTATGAGAAATAAATTTTATTGCTGTTCCTGCCAGACCAGAGACTCCGGACGCTACTTCCATACCATGTACGATAGGTGCGGTGAGTATAGTTGTTGATAAACCAACACCAGCTACGCCAAGTCCCATGCTAGCTGTTACAAGTGCAATGTCAAATCCGTCGAGAGCATTCACAGCTCTGCGATACTTTTTATACAATCCAAGTCTCAACTCCCTCTCCTTCCCTATTTGATGTTTTATGTCGCTAATTTCATGTAAACGAAATAAACCCATAATATATATTATTATATTATATAAGAGTCTTTAATTGGTCTTGCTTAAATGTCTTGAGAGTATACATCAGTCTTATTGAATGTATATTATATGGCATAAATATCTTAGTAAGCGAAATGCTTTCACTTTTATTAACTTGGACCCATTCAAGGGTTCCAACGGGCGAAACTCCATTATAAATAATACTTCAACGTTGACGTTGGTGTTTCTTAAGCCATTCAGTTGATAGACCTGGTAATATCTTAAAGGCATCTTCTGGTGCATCCCCAAACAAGACTTCAATAATAATTGTAGAAAGATCAGGTATAGCATTCAAGATATTCAATATATCATTGAATTCAGTAACCAAATGTAAACTAACATTTTTTAATGACGAACAACTCAATAACATATGACCTGGGTCATCTGGCAGGGGAGCGACAAAGACACGCTTTCGTTTTGAGGGGATGTAAGCCCCGAGTACGACCTCGTATTACATTGTCTAAGGTTATGCCTTCCAGGGCCTGAAGAATCAACCATTATTTATAATATGGAGTGTCAGACTCAAATATTATATATGTACAGGTTGATTTTTTACATATAATACAGAAATTTTGAGATCTGAAATAATACCCCGCTTTAACTTTTGTTTTGCAATGATGATAAAGATTCAGTTCTACAACTATTGTATTTTTCATCTTTGACTGGAATAGCTCGTAGCAGAGTTGAAAGACTTTTGAGATGAATATTATCCGTTGTACTGATCGCACCAAGAAGGATGCACAACTCTTTATAGGGAGCTAAATCGGGTAATTTAACTCCATGCACTGTTGTGTTGAGTAATACTTCTTTTCTTATAAATCCAAGTGTATTTATTGCTAAGTTCCTGTGAAGAATTATATCCTTTTCTCCACTGCTTAAAATGAGAACCCCATTCGACTCATTGTGTGTGATACTAGCTCCCAAAGGCTTAAAAATGTCATCATTGAGTGAGCATACACTGTAATACCCACTGTGCCAGTCTCTAGTTCCATATATCTTATTATTATCTCGCAGTACTTATATTAGTCCACCACGGGTTATACGCTACATCGCATTGAGCAACTTGAAGTTGCCCCACTGAGTTGTCAATAGTGTGAAGCAGTTGAACAGACTGGCCATTTGCTATTCCCTGGGGTGTAACATACATATTAAATATACAAAGATAATATATGATAACTTACATTTGACATCAACTTACATTACGAATCAGTCAATTTTAGTAAAAGCCTCTGATGCTAAGTTGTTTGTTCATTTCCCTGATATCTTTGAAAAATACAGGTTCACAGCAAGTAGTAACAAAATGGTGTATGATTGGTTCCAGAATCCAAAGCAATTTGGGCAAAACCAGTTAAACTTTGCCATTTGGTGTGCCACAACAGGATGTGGTGCATGTCTTTATGCCGCTGGCTTTGAACTAAATAAGTCTGTTTTATCATTTCATGTATAATATCAGATTAGACGTATACTTAAAGAAATTAGTGCCCCATTACTGCAGGATCGAGCATGGAATGCATCAAATAATCCATACAATAGGTTAGCATTTGAACATATTTTGTCAGAAATTTGATAGTTCTACGAGTAGAGAATGGCGTATTAAATACTTAACTATGGTCTAGGTATTCCTTACAGTGGACAAAAATTGTTAAAGAAGAAAGTGATGATTTATTTTAGAAAACTCATCAACCATTCAATCAATTTAAGTTGTCAAAGAAAAACAATCTTTTTGAAAGAATGCAAAATCTTTATCATGGCTGGGAACTTTCGAGTAATGATTGGAGAGGAGATCTTATGAGCTTTAAGAGTGGTTTAGCTTATATTGTTACAAAGTTTGTACAACAAACCGGTACCGCAAACGCTTGGAATCAATTTCTTAATGATAAAACAAAAAATATGTTTACTAACCCAGGAGTTGTAAGAGTTAATGAATCAATAAGAACTTGTGCATGGGCAATTCTTGGCGCACAGTTGCAAACACGTACAGGACTAATTGGTTCTGGGATAGGGCTCGATGCACAAAAGCAGTTTGTCACAAACGTAGAGGATGCTATTAATTCACCGGTTGACATACTATCTTCTATAAAGCGTTATCAAGATGTACTACAGTACGCTCAATCCAAAGTAGACTATGTTTATGGGGCAGGACTATACATGTCTCTGAATAATATGGAACTTAAGTTGGTAAAGTGATAGGCTATAATAATAAAAAATGTTATTGCTACACCACAAACACCGAATTAATAACACAAACAAACAGAGGCGAAACAGAAATAGTCAAGCCACAGTCATCTGCTGTAACAGAAGCGCAACAACCACAATTTGTAAAGCCACATATTGAATCAACAACATATCAACGAAAAAAGAGCGCTTATAGTAGGTGGAGTCACGGCTGGTTTACTCATGATTTAAATAAATAGCCTTTAGCAGATATGTACAACAGCCCGACAATTGCTACGATCATTGCCCACAAGACTTTGCTAAGCCAAGTGGCAGTCTTGGCTAATAAATTCAAGAGCCAGGATACAATACTCCCTATTATACCGTCTAAGTACAGACGCGGCTTTCCCTGCAAGCTTTCCAAGTGCTTCTCCCAATGACTTTAAATGTTGTTTATCCATTCTTTTATACCATCCGACGGTGGTGTAGGTGATATAGGCGTACCACCACTTCCCACGAGAATCAAAGTTGATATAATAAATCCCAATGCTGTTAAAATAATGGTACTGGTTAACCCCTGTTCTCTGAACAATGTTTCAATTTTCTCAGCCATTATTGTATAACCATTGAGGACTTGATCGATAGTTTCTCCAATTCGGCTGATTTGTGAACAAAGTGCCTCTCTATTAGTGGAAGCTGCTTCGAGGCGGGCCGATATTTCGTCTTCTACGTTAAGCAATCTTTCCGCAACGCAGCGTCTACCGAATTCATAATCTGCCTGTTCAAGTTCTGATATTTCATAAGCTATATGCTTGTCGAGTTCATCTAACTTGGCTATATTATTGATGAGTGATCACCGCATTGTTTGCATTGCCTTGTCAAGACCTTGTAATTCCCTAATATTGTACTCCAAGGATTGTACCTGTAACATGCAAATATCGTAAGTTTCAAAGATTTCTTCGAGTCCATCCGAGACCTGCTTAGTGCATTGTGGTACGTCTTCCAAATTATCTTTATCTATGGTAGCAGCCGTTGCAACAAGTTCAGTAGGTACAGTCTAAAGAACCTTAGTAGTCTTTTAGAAAGTTTTGCTTGTAAGTTGTCATAGTCTACAAGAGCTTATTCAATTATTAATTATGTTGATGCCGCCACAACATCCAGCTATTGTAGACAACGCTAGGGGTTTCCTAGTACGAGAATGCATAAGATCAATATCATGAGAGCCACATAGTCACAATATTCCTTTACTATCTATTGTAATCTTGGAATAGTCACGACAATAGGAGTTACATATTTTTTGTCTTCTTTTAAGACATTGTTATTATCATTAACGGTTGATTGCAAAAGTTCCTCATTAATATTCATAAAGCTTGTTTCATCAGAATTTTTCTTCGACTGTACTAGTATCAGTTAGGTTATCTGGATTCATATCATCCATTTTCATATTAAACATAAGGTAACATAATTTCAATATAAACAATGTCTCCGCAATACAGACGCAAGTTAAACCCACAACGTAGACTTACGGATCTATCATGGTTAACATTTATACTAAGTAATCTTATAATAATTAGATCTACATCAAGTGCTTTTATGGTGTAATATTTATACATCATTTCATATTATTATAGTATAGCAAATAATAATTGTCATTAGGTAAAATGCATATATAAAATATCAGTAGTTTCAGTTATAGCTTTTTAGATAAATGCTAGCCTAAGGTATCAAGATCCCATCTCCCAGACAAAGGATATTTATTTAAGTATATCCCTCATCACCTACCGGGGTATATTAGAATAACATTACTTCAATTAAGACTCATTAAGGATTAGCCCCCATACAAGCTCGTCTATAGTGCATTAAGGATTGGCCCCCATACAAGCTCGTCTATAGGGCATTAAGGATTAGCCCCCACACAAGCTCATCTATAGTGACACCCTAATCTCTTTCAAAGCATACAGTAAATATGTCAACAAGATTAGTGCCAGTCCAACAGGATAAACAGGATTTAGTATTCCCCTCTGTCTAGCCATCCATTTAGCTTAGGACACAACCAATC